AATGGCGTTTTCGATTGGCAGAGCTAATGCGCACGTGGGCACTCAGTGTAGTTCCATCTTTTATTAATCAACGCAAAAAATCAAAACAACAATACACTGAGTGCGCACCTACTCCGATCCAGTTTTCGATTGTGTTGTGTGTCATGGTGGACGTAGGTTGTTTGGATTCCGCCTTGTTTTCTTTTATCGTTGCCTTCGTTGCTCGTTGTTTCAAGGTAAGTTAAAGTGTAATAATATAATGTGACTATTTCACCTAGCACCATCTTAGCACAGTCACAACCTCGAATGATTGAGACGCGGCTCATTCAATTTTTTCAAAACAGAGACAAGAACTAGATATTTGAATACTTAGTTTTCTTTTTGTATTTTTTAGTTAGAAGCAGTTCGAGAATAAAAAAATAAAATATCTATCAACATCCAATAAAAGACAGAGTGCGCTAAGGGTGTAGTTGCGGGACCGAAGCCAGACTCACGGATTTATCAAGACATAGGGGATGACCCTGTACCTGAGTTTTTATATTAATAAATATTTAAAGCTGACTTCCATTGAATTATCTCTAATTAAATTCCTAGGTCGTAAACGTCGTTGAAAAATGTACGTCCATAGTACGTACATTGTACGCCCATGGTACGTATTTTTTTTAGTACTTTCGATCATTTTACGTCCAGTTTTGGTCCGGAACAAAACATAAAATGTACGTACCTGGAATGTACGTACATGCGACGTACATAGTACGTACTTTACCACATCCCAGGGACGTACATAGCGTTGGAAAATGTACGTCCCTAGTACGTACATAGTACGTACCTGTACGTACTTGTACGTACCAGGGACCTGACGTTCGTCCAAACATTACGTACCAGGTACGTACATAGTACGTACCGTGGCTGTATGGGGGGCTTATGTAAATGCCCTCCAGCGGGTTGGGTTGTTAGAAATTGATTTTACTGTTTCGATCTTATTTTTAATTATCATTTGCCACGTGTGTCTAGAACGACTACTTTTTCTACTGCCTTGTGAGTTCCACTCAATAGTTTTGCCAGTGATGTTGTTGCCGCTTCGCCTTAATGTATAACCAATCCACATCTATTTCCTTAGTTTGTTCTCATTATAACACTTGTCTCTGATTGGTTAAGCTCCATAAATTCTTATTTCTAATAGTGTTTGGCTAGAATATTCCTATAATTTTTACAGCGATTTATGAATACTTGGAATTTGTTAATTAATAGCAGTGTAATCAACGGCGGTGTTTCCATGTCTCTACGCCATATATACTGGCTTGAATTTCAAAAGTTTTACGTTTGGTAAATTGAAAGTACTGTCTAGATCTCCAAATAATTGTTGAGCATTACAAATGTTATTCTGGCTTCGTTTATTCTGTTTATGATATTTTGCTCTGTGCCTCTGTTGGTTGAGATTTTAAAAATTCTTATCTCCTCTATAAAGGTGCCTCTTCAATGATAAAGGGAATGACATTATTGGTATAGACTCTCATGGATTTAGTTTTTCTCATATTGACCTTCATCTCATAATTATTATAGGTATACTTTTTCCAAAACTATTGCACTCTATTAGTAATCGTTAGAACTGAATTTATATGAATAGTAATAGGTGTTTCAAATTAGACTGTCACCTCTCACCCCATTAATAAATAATACATAGTGGGTCAAATTGCGTATCAAAGAATCCTTTAAGAAAATCCTTTAAGTACACGGACCAAAACATTGTGTAGGTTAAAATAAATAAAGACTGAATCGAATACCATATTCAAAGAAAAGTAGTCTAACTTCACTCTTTGTAGTTTTAATCATCTACTAATGATGCTAACATGGTTAGCGAAACGCGCGTCCAGTGTAAAAGTAAGTGTTTTGGTGTGTTGTGGTGAATTAGGGTTTTATTTTGCTGTTGTAACACCAAAAGTTGGAACCAACTCCCAACTGTAATATTCCTCTTTGCCTTTTCAGGAAATATGGCGGAAAATTTTATCAGTTAGAAAATACCAGTAATACATTCTCAAAGATTTATTTTTCTTTAGTTTCATCTACTGGTGACGTCAAAAATCGTATCGTTTTTCTAGAGGATACTTTATTTATTTAAATACGGACCTGGATTGGGACCTCTATTCCCGTATAGTTTATAAAAATTAATATGAAAACCTGAAACAAACAAAAGTGCAGATCACCCTGTACTAGGGTGATCCTACCAGATTAAAACTTGTCCACCCAGGACAAGTCTTCCCAAAAATTCGGACAAAATCCGGACGTCATAATTTTTTAGCGATATAAGAGTAAAAATAGTATAGTCTGTCCAACGAGAAGATCCTTGACAGTGATAGATGTGTCTGTCATTTTAATTTCAAACTAGTTTATTTTATTTTACAAAGAAATAGGTTGGTACAACTGGAACGCATAGCAGGAAATATTTAAAATTTGATTGACAAGATGGCAAGTGATTACTTCAAAATATTGTGAAAAAAACTGTATAAAACTGAAAAAATGTAATCGAGTTATTTTATTTAATAAAAACGGTATGTGTTAATACAAAACAAACAAGAACAAGACACTACATACCAAAAAAATATAAAAAAAAACTATTATTTACTTTCAAGCTTTATGAAACTACCCGCATTTATGATTATATTTATCAATATAACTTATGTACAAATACAAATTTGTAATATTCCACAGGAATAAATAAAACAACATAGGTAAATAAAACGAACTATTTTATTAATAATAACACCTACCAAATTTTATATCTTAAAGGTTGTTTAATTAACTTTAATCTTAATTTTTTTAAACCAGTACCTTTTGACATTATTTTTCTGCAGTACTAAAATCCATTATTTACCTATCGTGTGATGTCGATATTTTACAGCTACTCCAGTTTTTAGTATGTGTTTAGTTTGATCCTTCTACCATATACGAGATGCACTTATCTACGACGAAATGGTATACAAACTTTATAGATGGCAACTTCATTGGTGTATAAGACTTTCTGCCTGGGCAGCAGTATTAACCATAAACTGTGCTCTGGGTCTACAGTTAATTTTCACTCGATTTTTCCTCCACTTGACTCAAAAGACACAAAACACACGTAATAATACGAATCAAAATGCATCATCTTCCAAAACGCAGGGTATTTAACAAAAGTTGACACAAAATTATAACCTATAATTTGGCAAGACTTTGACAAGCGTCAAAAATGACAATAATCTAAGGGCGAGTTCATACGCATCAGCGTCCGTTTGTCGTTCATCGTTCCGTCAAACCAATAAAATTGAAATACGATCTGTCATTTATTAAATACACCAATAAAACTGGTTAAAAACAACAAGACACGACGTATGACGGATTTATATTTAAACCCATCAATAGATAACTTAAAAATGATTAGAAACTTTTTTTCGTAAAACAAATAGATTAAAGTCCCTAGATATATAAAGTACCGCAATTGGTTTGTTCAATGTTATTGGCGCCAAAATGGCGGATTTTTGGGGTATTTCTGGAAAAACTGTAGTGGTAGGACTGTTTAAATGTCACATTTGTCTGAATTTGTCATGTCAAATGTTGAGAGGCTGTCAATTTCAGGATAAAAATATTTATCCACATCCACATATTTTAAAATAATTATAAAGCCACTAAAATGCTACAAATTTATTAGTTAATAATGTATAGGCGTCGATATCTTTAGTGAAGAAATGTGTATCACACGAAAAATTTGATGTGTTTTCTAACATCGTCGATATTCAATACACGTTAGGTAGTGGATTGAATTTATTTATGCTCCAGTGAATATTTTTAACAATCTTATTTGTAGTATAACCTATTGGTACATAAAACTTCATTATAGAACAAGACAAGACCACAATAGATCTGAGAATGTCGCAGTCTGAGATCAGGCCGAGATCAACCTCTAGAAATCTAATCTAGAACAAGACAAAGACCTTACTTGCAAACTACCATACATATCTTTTAAAAAGGATGCTAAGTGTAAGTGAAATCTCTACTTAATCATTCCCTAAAATGTTTAGTGTAGTTTAGTTTTCAACATTTTGCAGCAAGAAGTTTAGATAAATCTACAATATATTATCATCAGACCAAAAGAAGAATAATTATTTAAAAGAATAAGTTATGTTATGATACATATATAGATTTGGATGACATCGCTTCAGGTGGTTTTACCAGTCAGGACTAACAGGGATATTAATCAAAACAATGAAAAAAAGCTCAAATAAATTTGAACCTAATAACAAGAATGTTGTTTATGCATATGCTAACTATATATGTTATCGACGCCTATGATCCTTATGATAGGCAGTCATTTTCACGCCGTGCCAGCACCCCGTGTCCGCTGATGTTTGCGAGTAGCGGAGTAGTAGGCTTTGGAAACAGTTGAATGTCAGAGATTGTTGATTTCGGCCGGGGAGAAGACATTGTTTGTCAAGCTAGTTAGAATTACATTTTAAAATATCAATTTCGGTTAAATATTTTAATCTTTCGATTACATCAGAAGTGGCGATGAGTTTAATCCAGCGTTCTTAGGCCGTAACGGCGTATTTCTGACTTACTGACGACTATTGACTTGACTTTGACCTTTGACCATATCGTTTCGTAAATGCGTCGGTTTCGAGGATCGATTCGGTGATCGATCGTCTCAGATACGGGTACCCGTCGGCGTCGAATTTCGGATACCGTCGTCGGATCGGCGAAACGCGAAAAGAAAACCGGAGGGATCATCCTGCTAGCTCTAGTGCTCGAAGGTATTAGCGGAAAAAAAAAAGCAGTGCTGGAAAGAAATTTCATATCATCCCTACAGTTACAGACGCCAGAAGATAACAGGAAAAGGTAGTGAGCGAATGAGTCAACACATTCTCTGAGCAAATCTCTTCTAAAAGGTATTTTAAAAATGGCTAGAAAAAAAAATCGAGATAAATTAGGTAATTACGAGATAAATTCTAATGTAGTATTTTTATACAGTAAAAATTGTTGCCATGGAGACAGATTTGAGTTTAAAGTAATTGTTCGGATTTTTCGATTTCGGATTTCGGTGATATGAATCGCCTCGTGGTTCAAGAGGTCTCGAAGAGAGGGCGCTACCGTGGTCAGTTGATAAGGGTCGATTTCGCTTGCGAAAGAAGATGGCTGCGAACCTCAACATAAATAGACAGTTTTTCACGTAAAAAGTAAAAATTTTATTGTTAAAATTAAAAGTTAAATAAATATCTATCTATGGTCCTCTAGAGGAATAAAATTTCTAGAGTTATGTGTTATTTAGTATATTAGTTATGTTGAGTATGTGTTATTTTATTCTCATTAAACTTCAACTATACTGTTTACTCGACAAAGCACAATAATGTTATGAGAAGGCTGACGATCGGGTACGGATGACTAAGGCCTATGGCTAACAAAAAATGCATTCTTTACGTAATTGGGAATAAAATGTGCTCGATAAAGTATGATAATGATACTACGGGTGTATATCTATTTGGACGAGGATACGAAATATAATTGAATAATTTCTGTATAGATCAAGTTATTGTTCATAGTCACTCACCAAAATGAATTAAATTGAGACCAGGATTAAAAAATCGTACCACTAGAACATATATGTATATCATTAGCAGGGCTTTATCTTTGATAGTGAAAAAATATAATACTTATTATAGGTAATTTTCCATTATAAATAAATTCTAGACTCTATGTTTGGAATAAGAATTAACATCTAAATAAAGTAATACTACCCTTTGAAAAGTTCATTACATTTGATTATAGCATATTTTTTTCTAGTCTTCTTCTTTTAACATAATATTTTTTTAACGTAACTTTCTATGACATATATGACCACTATAACTATTAAAATTTTACAATGTTATTTACCATTATCAAGGTTCGTCTTGAATAAAATATAGTCATTAATTTTAAGTAACTACAACTGTATTTTTTTCTCTGTGTCTTGCCAACTGCGGCTAACATTGTACATGTAGTTAATTAATTTTTCTCCAGTGAAATACAATCGTACCCATGATTGCTCTACTGATAAAAAGCTGCCGTATGCAGTAGTAGTGAGTTAAAAACTCTACACCCTTAATTTGACGCCCAACGTGGGGTCCGTTGAAATTAGAGGTATGGCGGTATTTAAATACTGCCCTGCGTACGACAGCTTGTCGCCAGTAGAGCAGTCATGGGTACCAATGTATTTCACTAAAGAAAGACTAATTAAATAAATTATTAAAAATGATGGGCGTCTTTGGCAATATAGAGAGAAAGAAAACACAGTTATAGTTGCTTAGAATTAGTGACTATTTTCTATTTTTCTATTTTCTCAAGATGAACCTTGATGGAGGTAAATAACATTGTAAAATTTTGAAAATTATAGTGGTAAATAGGATCAGAGAAAATGTAACATAAAGCTATTGAAAATCTAAAAAGGGTAGCGTCAGTGCAAACCCTTAACCTCCCTCTAGTTCTTAGATCCTTTATTTGTCTATGCATATATTCATTTGTAACTAATCGAATTGTATATTTTGATTATGTTATTTTGTTATTCGAAACAGTAGACTGCGAGTAGTATGATGGAGGATAAACAAGGTTGCATCCTATCAGGAACGGTAGAGACAAGGATATGAGTGGCATGTTTTGCAAAGGCTTTTATTCCAAAAATTCCAAAGGATAATCAGATTACAAACAAAATAAATGTGCAAATGTTGTTAGAAGCTTATACGGTTTATATATGTCATATTTTGAATAAATATACTTTGACATATTTTAATATTATTAACATTGATATTAAAATTATAACTAAAATAAATTATTTTGTATTATTTTCCTCATCTCTTTATAATCTGCTTGACTTGAATATCAAATATTGAAAATTTATTACGTAATAGTATGTTTTATATTTTATTTGATATGTTTAAACCTTCGATTACGGGGAATATATTTAAATTTAGATAGTTATGAATAAATAGCATATTAATTAGTACAGCAAATTTATAAATTATGATTTTTACATATTATAACTATTAACTTTTACTTTTTTTAATTTCTTTTGATTTATATAGATATAAAACTAGGTCAGTAAAATTTTAAAAAGCTAGAAATGTGGAGAGGATAGTAAAGGGGTTCCATATTTTCTTGTCAAAAATGATTAGAATGTCATTAGTTACTAATATTTGAACATTATTTATTTATTTTAAAGAAAAATATGTAGTGACAAGTTATAGTATACAGGAAATATTGAAATATTTATATTTCTCTTGACTACTATTTTGATTGCCTTTTTGGCTATCATAATTATTTAGGCAGAATCATATACAGAACCTTAAAAATAAATCTAGGTATTTGCGTCTGGAAGAAAACCTACGAACACCACTTAATTGATCCAAACATAAACCAATTTGTCAGTGGTATTTTACTAGTAAACACATTTTCCTAACTGACAAAAAATTAGTAAAAAAAAAGAAAAATTAACGTTTTAAATATAAAAATACGTTTAAAATATATTTTTAGCCGACCATACCAACAGGTATGGTAGGCTATTAAGATCGGCAAAAAAAAGTTTTCTTAATTTCACTCAAAATGAGTTATTTGGGTCATAAATGACCTAAATACAAACTATTTCATGATGTCTGACTGTCTGTCTGTCCGTCTGTTTGTAACACGATAACTCAAAAAGCGCTAAACCGATTTTAACCAAATTTGGCACAAAAATACGGTGGAACCCGAGAATCTGGCCATTAGTTTTTGGTTGGTGTGGGGGGCTGGTAAGGGGGTATGGGAGGGGGTTAAAAATGTTAAAAAATCGTAACTCCAAAATTACAGTAGCTAGCGAAACACGGTTTTGAATTTAAGATTAGGAATAATATTTGCAACAAAATTTGTAATAACATCAAAATCAGTGCAGGTTTTGAGATAATTGAAACTAAAAGAACTGCCTACCAACTTTTTATTAAAATATTCTAGTATGGGCGGATATACGTGCCTCCCGGCGCCATTTTTTTTAATATAGCAACCAATTATTATATTCATAAATACTGGAAAATAGTGTAAAATAGAAGTTCAAAGTCGCACCTGATATATCAAAAATATTATGCAACCTTCAACGGAAATATCTCTTTCACGGCCATATTACGTTCCATTAGTTGTAAAATCCCTAAGGAAATTTTGCTTTGACGACGTTTCAGAATATTGTAAGAAAGTTATTAGAAAAATTTTTAGACCGAAACGACTTTATATAAAAATTATTTCTCCCCCGGGATTAGTTTTTGTATTCCGTTTGATAAAAAAATTATTTGTCACATACAATTTTACTTTATTCTTTTTCTGAGATCTACATATATTTTCGTAAGTAAGTATTGTAGGAAAAATAATATTTAATAGTAATCTTAAATAAAACTAGCTTCTTCAACCCACTAGTCAACTCGCATGTCCAACAATGTTGCCGTTTGTTGTCCTTTAATTTCGCATAATCGGTCGAATATGTTGCGTGCAATCTAAACAAAAAAAACTTACCCCAGGGACTAACCAACGCAATCAAAACACGCCTACAGCGTGTTTGATTGCTATTACCGACAGCTGTAAATAAATAAAAAATAAAAACAACTGTAAAAAAAGAAAATAGTTCTATATTTGTTGGACACGAACCTGGGACCTCTTGATCCCGAAGCGACGGCCTCACCAATGGATCCACAGCTGCTCTTGCAAAATTGGATATAGCTAGGCGTTACTTTCCGCCGTTCATAAAATAAGGCGACAGCAAACGGCAACATTGTTGGGTTTGCGAGTTGACTAGTGCGACGTAGAAGCTATTTTAAATAGATACCTATATTTAATGTCTATGAATTGAATAGATAATTGAGTAATAATATATCGGCAATAATTAAACATTAAGTGTTTTGTGTGTTAGGAAAATTTTATTATTAATTAAAAGCCACTGACAAGCTATAGTTCATATCAAATAAACTTTTAGTCACGTGATTAAGCTTGACCGGCGTTGCCCACATTTACATATTCCCTTTTAATCAAAATATTTTAGGTCACAAAAATAAATTAATTATAAATATATAAACAAAACTCACCTTCTTAACAGCATTTAAGGAACATAAAGGGCCATTACTACCGCTTTCCCATTCAACATATTCTAATAAAGGTGCGACGAGTTTTTTACGGCTAGCAATATCAAGCTATCTTGTACCACTTTGCACTAAAAGAGGTTCTGAAAAGAACAATGTTCGACTGCAAGGTCTACTAGTAAACATTTTTA